TTTAGAAAATGTGAAACCTGTGAAACTACTCTTTAAATATTGAAGGGTTATAGTGGTAATGTTAAAACACAAAGAAAGAATAAAAAGGTAAAATCATGCACAGGGAATTCTACTAAAAGGAGATTACAAAACACCTGCCTCTATTAAAGATAAGAGTTCTTATCAGTATTGTGAATAGCCCTTATAATATTTTATAGGGCTTGCATTTGTAAGTTTACTTGAAACACAATGAATGAATTCAGCACTGGAATTTTGTCCAGAGGACTGGAACACTGATCTGCTTCTGCTTCTACCCCTCTGTGTCTACCTATGGTTTCCTGAATAACACATCGACAATATAGCAATTGAATGGCATATACTCAAGTCTAAAGGCTCATCAGGCCAAAGCTTATCCCAGTTTCTATAGTACTAAGCGCATGTAACTCCCCCTGGATGTGGCGCTATTCCACTGAACCACCCAGCACCGCACACCATCCAGCTGGTCTCGGTTTCTACAGTTGGGTGGACTGGAGCTTAATGACAGAACAGCCAAGTCTGCAGTGGGGAACTGAACCCACCATTGTCCAGCGAGGACTTAAACTACCATTCTGTGCTGTTCCCACAAACGCAGCATTTTGAATGAAAGTTCTGCTTAAAATATATGTTCATACAAAAATAATGGCAAAATAAACGCAATTCAGAAAAAAGAATCTGTCAATGTGACATGGCTTTCATGTTGGATGAGATTCTTCTTAAAAGAGAAGTACATTATACAGTGCAATGCTACATTTAGAATGAACCGTATAACTTCATATTGCATATTAATAATTTCAGGGAACAATACTGTCTTTTTATTCCCATGGGTAACTAATAAAAGGAAAAAAAAAGTGTCTGGCTTATCCACAATGACCCCGATGTCACTAAAACCTACTGTATATTATTCACATGGACTGATAATGAAAGACACTACTGGAGATTAATTTCATTCACTTCATTTCGGTCTACTACAATACAGCCATTCCGGTGGCACTGGCTTGCAACATCAAATGTGTAAAATGTGCTTTCAAAACAGGTGAGCACTCATGACAAATAGGAAAACTAAAAAAGTTTAAGACAATCCATTAGTTGATTTCTCCCAACTGTTACCAAACTTTATGCTCACAAGTTACGTTATCTACTGTATATTCCTTTTTATCTATTTCTATCAGGTTTCCAAATATTCTCTGACAATTTTGTGGTTTAACAAGCTTCAGAAAGGGTAAAACAAACACTAATTTCCAGTGGTATAAAGATGAATTTTTAAATAACACATTTACTTAAGGGAGACAAGTGGATGAAGATGGGGTTGGAAACTACGGAAGTGAAAAAGTGTTTTTAACTCAGCACATTGAAAACCAACATGCTGGTGTTGCAGCTGCCCTGTGACACAATTGTAACAAGAATTCTTACAGTGAGTTTCAATTTCCGAATGCTACTCACGTGGTCACAGGTGAGTCTGTGTCTGTATCGTGCTCCGAGATGAATTTGAGCTCCCCCGAGTAGCTGACAGCTGCTGACATCTGCAAGAGAATAAGTGTAGAAAAGTTTGACATGAAAGGGAAACAAAGGGGATAGCACATTTTGTGTGAGGGTGTAGAAACCCACTGGCTTCCTGTACATTCATTGTCTTCAGGCGTTATCAAAGCAGTGTCTGGCACTTTAGGAGTCCTTACTGCAGCGTAGGTACAAATGATTTCAAAACTAGAGTGGCAAAAAATTACAATCTATCCAAAGCAAACGTTTTGGGGTAGTTAAAATGTTTGCCTAAATCACCAGAGTACATAGAGCATTCATTTTGGAAGAAAGAGAAACATCTCATGTGAGAGAGACTGGTCTCTGTAACCAAAATATGAAGCCAGCAACATAAAAATAAAAGTGTTCTATAATAAAGAAAAAGTAAATCTTAAAGGATAATTCAGTAGAACTTCCCCCAGTCCTTAACAACTGAATATTTTTATTCAGAAAAAGTGGTTGTTGTATTTTTTAACATAAAATGCAAAAAAGTGTTTTTTCGAATTTATTTTTGCAGATTTTATAAAATAAACATAGAAGTTAAAAAACTATTTCTATGCAGCTCAGAATGTCTACTGCTGTTTCAATTCAAATGATCCACTAATAAAATACTTCACAAATGGAAGATTTCGAAATCAGTCCAACATCCGAATGTCTTAAAGAGCTGATAAACCACTGATTAGTGAAGGTAGTGAATACAAAGAAAAACAGCTCACAAGATAATCTGTTTACTGTATTACATGAAGCTATAGTTAAAGTGAATGAGAAGTTAGAGTATTCTATATATGTACAACTAGATAGTATGACTGTGGAAAGCAGATAATTGTAAAACAATAAAAAGTAGTTAACTCCCATTTCAACTAACAGCTGTTAGCTGATACAAATCCAGAAGAGTCTGCAGTAGCATGGCTGCACCAGTAACTCTATGTCTATCTAGGAACTTTTACAATTTCAAATGAGAAATGCTTGAGTTGACTATAACTTGTGAAACCAGGATGTTCTTCTAATGATATTCATGAAGTCTAAGAGAACCGCAGGAATGAGTTAACAAAAAAAGGGCTTAAAGACCTATGAACACAGAATAAAGAGTTGATTGACAGATTATCAGGAATTGATCAAGGACAGACATGCTATATTTAAATAAAAAAAAAACAACTAAAGAGCATTAGCCTAGATGATTTAAGTGCAGTAACTGCTCAGAGGACGATGGAATAGATATTTAAGAAAGAATAAAATAACCTATATTCAGGGTACACTGTTTTAACTGGCTGTTAAATCACTAGTCAGTTTTGAATGTGTTTGCAATCTTCCTAACACATCACCTATTACCTACCTGTCAATTCCACAGAATGTATTTCAGTATGGTGTTCAGGCTCCTTCAAGGTCTACAACCTTACAGTTAAATTTACAGCATGTCCACTGACTTAAAACATTGTTTTAAAAGTTCCAACTTGGAAATATATTTGCATTGTTTCAAAGAGTCCCACAAAGCACAGCTTGCTTAATGGACTGAATGCCACAATGTTTTAAAAGCCACTCCAATGTAGCAAATCAGGTGATCAGAGAAGAAAAAACATTTCATTTTATTTTTTAAGCTAAAGCCAGGGTTGAGCAGGGGAGAGAGGGGTCCTAGCTGGTGAACCAAGGAGAAATATAATGTACAGCATACATTAATCACTGTCCATCAATAATGTACAAAGGGAGATTAGTGAGAGATGTAATTCCTGTTGGGGCCTGTACACAGACATGACAATGTGATTTAATGTTTCACATCTATACAACAAGCTGTTTCGTCAGAACAACAATTATAATTCTATTTTTACTTTAGAAATATTTTATTACTAGTACTAGCCACAATAAAGATATAGCATTTGTTATGCTGTGCATTTATTTTCTGTTTTATAATTTAAGAGGTTCTGTAACATTTTGTACTCAGTTAGACAGTGTTTTGTGTCGATCAAAGGCAAAAAATCCCAATTAAATACATCAGGATTTTATATGGGTGGCATGGAGGCACAATAGTTAGCATTGCTACCTTGCAGAACAAAATAACATGTGACAAAGTGCAGGGGGGGTGTGGGTGGTGTAACGAACAGTTCTTTCCGGACCCTATGCGGACGACACAATCCGACGAAGTGGGGGAACACTGGGGAAACGTCATGCAGGAAAACGGGGCTGAAGACAGGGGGGCGTGTCCAAGGTGCGCTGGTGCACGGGGGAGGTGTGGCCGAGGCGAACAATCCAAGAGTAATCCTTAGAGTATCCAAAAACACATGAGTAAGTCCAAAACCAGGAGATCCATCAGAACAAAGAATTAAAAACCACGAAGACCGGGTCGGAACCGGCGGACAGGGACAAGGAACAGGGGGTTAAAACCTTAACGGGACCAGGCGCTTCCTGGTCCCGGACTCGCACGATATGGAAATCAGATGCAGAGCCCGGAAGAGCGTCAGCGCCTGGCTTTTAAGGTGGGCTGGGAATAGGGAGCAGGTGCATAGAATAAAGTCTTTAGTGAAAGGGCTGGAGCACCCTTAAGGAGGGGGAACTAATATCGTGACAGGTGGAGGGGGAGATATTTTTGATAGCCACTGTTTGTCATTTAGAGAAGTATTGGCATGTCAAAAAGTGATACAAGTCAATAATGAAAACTGATGGTGTGCAAAAATATTCAATATTTGTATCCTAAAACAATGCCCGGTGAGACATTATATTATGTAGATATTATTGAAAATGGCTCCTAAATTTTGATAACAGCAGGTTTTGCCTAGGTCAAAAGAATCATCAAAGAAACTCAGAAATACTTAACTTCTACAAGGCAAGTGATGGGTATAGAAATAGACACGTTTTCCAATTTTAGTCAGACAGGAGCATTGTTTGAAATGGATTAAAAAATACCCTTAAGGAATACCATTAGAGAAATTATCATTAAGTGGGAAAAATTTCACTAAAAGCATTGAAGAGAAAGGAGACATCAACCACCACAACTCAAGATAATCCTTGACTCAACAGTGAGGAGGAATTTATACACTGATTGAGATTTTGCAATGATAGCAAGAAAAAAGGCCATAGTTAAAGCCAAAGCGTGGCTTAATTTTCCCGAGGACGACCTTTGGACAACCCAAAGATGTCTGGAAGTTTTTTAAATATTGAGTTTTTTAAATATCGACATGTTAAATGCCAGACAAGTAAATCATTCTAAGAATAGAATCTGTGTCTACTGTGAAGCAGGAAAGAGATGACATTACTGTGTGGGGATCCTTTTCTGCTCCAGACACCACTAAGACTGTTGAAGGAGATGGAAAAATGAATTTAGATGTACCATCCACTTGTCCACGTGAGCTGAGCTGATACTATGCCTTCCAGCATATTACTGACCATAAACATACTTAATACATACATAATACATAAAGCAACAAGTGATAGGTTTATTCAACTCTGAGAAGAGAAGAAAGAAAACACAACGTTTCGGCTGTGGAGCCTTCTTTGCAGCCACCCACCTGAACTACTTCATAATACATAACTTCCAAAACAAAAATATCAAAATTAACAGTAAAACACCAAGAGCACTGCCACTTTTCTAAAACATTACCACACATAATAAAAATGTTTCTCATCTGCAATCATTCAAAGTAAAACATACCTTTCATTAATTTTGTGGTCTGAGTTTTGAATACAAAAGTGTTGAAATGTAAAAATAAATGTAAAATGTAATATGAGGGTGGTGAAAATGTATCAGTTTTGCAAAGAAGCTTTGGCATAGCATTAAATAATAAAACTGATAGGTGTGATGTAGTTGGCCAAATGTACAGTATGAGCTATGAGCTACATATATGAAACAAATGCTTACACTTTCTCTAGTCTTACTATCTGAGGTGTCAACTCACTTTCCTGTTGTGTAGCATGTTTAAAAATGTGCAAGGGGTATATTTAAAAGAGTGGTAGATTATATATAGGGAGACAATGACTGATAAAACAAGAATACTATGAACTATAAATTATATACTATGCTAACACGATACTATAAAGTATATTATCTTATACAGATTATACAGATTTGGTGCATTTTCAGCTGATAAAAATAAACATTTTTCTGTACAGTTTAATATACTAGTATATCATTTCCTATCTTCAGCGGAGAAGGACGACTGTCTTCCATGAACCAGACGTGACTGATAGGCCAGGTATCTGTGCATTCTCTGGTAGGTGGAGCACATGCTGTCTTGGGAGATATGTGGTTGTGTAATTTACAATTCAATCATGGTGAGTTCTTTTCAACATTCTCACTCTTCTCTCTCATTTTGACATCTCTGCATGTCTCTCGAAGTGTTGAGCTCCTTCCCAGATATTTTCCATCCATCTGGTTCTGTCATGAGCCACAGTTTATCGGGAGGCTAAATTTATGTTGCATTTTTGCAAGCTTGCTTTTGTTATGTCTCTTCAATGTTTCTTCTGACCTCCTCTGATTTGACTGCCTTGGCAAAGCTGGCAAAAGAGAACCTTTACGAAAGCCTGGAGTCTGATATCAACATGTTCAATGCAAAGGAGCAAAGCTGGAGGTGAGAAGACCAGAGAGAACCCAATGTTGGTGCTTCTGTCCTCTCATTTCATAGGTAAAATCTGCAAACAGCCATGGTGATACATTGGGTTTCAAAGTCCCCCTCTTGTCCTTGTGAAAACGGCAATAAGTAATGTCAGGTCAACATCTACAGGGTGAAAAACAGGAGGATTCCTTCAATTCTGGAGCTGGTTAGGTTGCTTTGAAGAACTGTTAGGATTCTTGAACGTTACCATCTAGTTCTATGTTTACAAATGTGCTTTGCTTTGTGGATGTGGATGCTAAGGTCATTTTTAAATTAGTCACAAAGATTAACAAATACTGTGGTGACAAGATAAGATGCAAAAGATAAGGACACAAAATTAGTGTTGAGTGATTAAACCACATGGCTAAGAAAATGTTAGTGTGATAACATATTCACATATATGTTCTCATTAAGGTGTGAAAAAAGAACCACAGACCAAAGAACACTGCAACAAAGTTCAGCTAAAAAATACAAGTAATATTATATTGTGCAAGTTAATCATTGTTGCACATTTTTTAAGTTTTATATTTTCACGTTTAATATTGCAACTGTTTTAGATTTTTCAGACCATGTGTTTTAGAATTTAATATATTATATTAGACCATTTTCAAAACAAAACATCTAAAACTACTATCACTTTATGGCATTTGTAATATGTACACGGTCTCTAGTGTTGACTGCTGAAACTCAACAATTTCTAGATACAGTCTGGAGCTTTTTGTAAAGAAGGATCATCTATAAATGGAAAGAAGGGCTGGCGATAACAAAGTTTGGATTAAAAATATACATCTGTAAGATCTGGCAGAATACTAATGAAATACAGATCTGGTTATAAAAAACTGCCAAAGGAGCTGTCCATTTTCCTGTTTGAGCTCATCCAGACTTTCAGCATTGTTAAGAGATGAGAGAGCACTTGACTCTTCCTCTGGATGGGACACTGCTTCATCACAGGGATCATCCCCAGCAATCCTGGTTCCCATTTATACAGCTGGGAAGACTGGAGCAACTGGGATGCAGGACCTCGTTCAAGGGGACAATGACAGGGTCCACAGACCTACAAGCTACGACTCCGGAGACTGCATCAAAATTCAGTACCAAAACAAACAATAAGCCACTAATTTTAAACAATATCCTAAATGATTGCACATGAGACATGAATACCTGCTATAATATGCAGTCTTTCTTGTTGTCATGAGCGTTTAGGAGCCAAAGTCTAATTGTGACTCTTATTTTTAAATCTTAGGACTTTCTATGGTCTTCCTAGTTCTTTCCAAGCGTTTTCCAGTCTAATGTACAATTGCAAGCAATGTTGCCTAATTAGCATATATCTAAAAAAAAATATGAAAACAAAAACGTTCAAGTCCTATTTCACAATCCGAAACAACTGCAAAACAACTCTTACTATAATTAATTTTATCTTACACAAACCAAAACATATTCCTTGATGGCATAACCCCTAGTTCTAACCTAAACTAAGGTTGCTGCTGGAAGAGGTGTTAGTGGGGCCAGCAGGGGGCGCTCACCCTGAGGCTCATGTGGGTCCTAATGCCCCAGTGTAGTGACGGGGACAATATACTGTAAACAGGCACCGTCCTTCGGATGAGACGTAAAACCGAGGTCCTGACTCTCTGTGGTCATTAAAACTCCCAGGGCGTTTCTCGAAAAGAGTAGGGGTGTAACCCCGGCGTCCTGGCCAAATTACCTATCGGCCTTTATCAATCATGGCCTCCTAACAATCCCCCTCTATGAATTGGCTTCATTACTCTGCTCTCCTCCCCACTGATGTGTGGTGAGCGTTCTGGCGCACTATGGCTGCCGTCGCATCATCCAGGTGGGGGCTGCACTGGTGGTGGTGGAGGGGAGTCTCCATTACCTGTAAAGCGCTTTGAGTGGAGTGTCCAGAAAAGCGCTATATAAGTGTAAGCAATTATAATTAATTATTAGTTCAATTAATCATCACAGAGAAGAGTTCAGCTAAGCCTTCTTGTGCGGCAAAGTCAGGCCTGCACCCTTTGTATTACAATTATTTTCTGGAGAGGGGTATATATTGTTTATCCAAAATAAGGGTGTTATTTAAGTCTTGATATGAGTATATTAAGTTTGTACTGGATTCTTTCTCCACTCTGTGTAAAACTAAATTCCCTCTATGAAGTTTTAATTTTGTTTTAAAAATCAATGATGGTAATGTCTCTACCCTGAAAACTTTCCCAGCATGGTTTTTAAGAGTAAAAATGCGAAATGGAAGATAATGCGGTTTTTAAGATCACATTTTAGTATCAGTTTGTGCTTGCATAGTTTTTAGATGGTTTATAAAAAATGTGCCACTATAAACTTGATGAACCAAAAGTAGGTCTAAATAAATAAAGATAATTGGCTACTTAAATCAGACTTTAAAAATATTTTATTTCAACCTATAAAATTATCATGTAGATATAAAATCACAATTAATATAATCTTTAGAAGTAAAGAACTTGTCTTTTGATATGACTTAACACATATAAAACAAAACACACTGCTTTAATCTTGAGTTGCTAACACTTACATTATCAAACCAAAAAGCACAGAATGTTTTAAGACTACTGTTTTCCCCATACATCTATTTAGGATTCTAATCTTGTAAGAAAGGTTTAGTGGGTCATATTTGTTCACTGAATTACCTCCAATGTTTCTACAGGCTGGTGCTATGCACTTTGTGTGGTCTTAGTAACACATGAGGTCTGGTGTTAAATATAAGATAAATTCAACATAGATTAGAAATGATTAGCTGCAGTGAGGAAGTTGGACAGGTGTTAGGATTGGGTAATCCAAACTCTATTCTATGAACAAACAATGGTACCGCCATGACCAGAACGCTCCTATCAGATCCCACCACTGTTACACTTACACATTTAATTTAATCATTTTTCATGGGTGTGACTCTTCCATAAATTCCACAACACACCTGCTCATGGTTGACAGCACACTACTTCATAAGGGCAGCCTGCTTGGGGAAACATGACATGATGCAAAACAAGGTACTGTACTCATGACGTATGAAATTCCATCTGACTACTGAACTTAATACTCCATCATCTACTTTCATGATTCTTCCATCTACAATAACTGTCAGATTCATTCGTGGTGTATGCAGCTCCACCCGTTCAGCGATTCACATTTCTCATTTGAGCTCCTTTTGGAACTGCAATAATAATGATTCACATATGAATTTGCAAACATTTTCACTCCAGGTGAAGACCATAAAGATCCAAGCAGGTCACAGCACTTGAGCATTTTTTAAATCATTTACCCTTTCCTCATCATTTACCTTAGCTGGGGTTGGCGATCTGTCAGCTGTCTCGTTCTGCTGGTCAGACAGAACAGGATTTGGTTCTAGTGTGTGGCGTAGCTCCTCTTCAAAACCTCCTGCAGTGGAAACACAGATGCGTTTGAACACATGACCCAAAACCACTGTGTCAGCAGAGCTTGTTCTCGTTAAGCTTAAAAGGAAAAAAAAAACATAACAAAAACAGCTTACTTTCATCTGCCACATAATTAGCCGGGAAGTAGCCCTGTTGTCCATTTGCCAGGCGGCCAAACCACCAGTTCTCATTATCTTTGTACAACACTTGGATAATGTCACCACGATGTATGGTTAGCTCATCTGATCGATTCGCTGTGTAGTCATAGAGGGACACAACCTAAGGGGGAAGATAAGAGCACCACAGCTTTATCAGACCTGTGCCACAGAGAGAAACACTTAACATTCACTTCCTCCTGCAGTACAGCAGCAGAAACCAAAGCTGCTGCTCTGGTAAGAGTTGAGGCTGTCTAGGGTTTTCTGAAAGGGATTCAAGGTGGTGGGAAGACATCAGGAGCAGTGAGATAAAGGACTTGTGGCACTGCAGAAATGTTTAAGAAAAAAGAAAAAAAAAACTTGAATTGTGCTAAGATTAGTTTTCAGGCAGCTGCTACGCATTCAGTAAATGATTAAATTTTCGAAAGGAAGATTAAAAAGCTTTAAGCACATACATTCTAAGAACTGTGACACCAACTCCTGTACCACATGCTTTGTTGTCAATCTAATAAAAAACTTAACTCTTTACAAGCAATGTGAAGCACATTTTTCTGCCACTGGTTTCTGATGAAGGCTTAAAATTTGTTAAAACATTTCTGAAGTTCAAAGTTTTTTTTTATTCACCTTTTTAAATTCAAAATGTTTTGAAATCAGTTACTTTGCAAATTTATTTTAAAAAAGTTAAATCAGATAATTGTTAATTTTTTCCAATTTCCAATCACTTCCTTGGGGATTGTCCATATTGATTTGTCACTGCAGCAAACAGAAGATGACTAACAGGAATAGAAACCACAGTCACCACTTTTAAAATGTCAAAAAAGAGGACAGAATCTGCCAGTCTAAGGTACTCAATCTAAAAAAATAGGCACAGTAGTTTTTTTAATTACTTGTTATGTGGAATACATTAATGGTCAAGTAGATATTACACAAATTATACTATTACAACTATATTTATAGCCACAATACAAACACAGTGTATTTGGTGCCACAGCACATAGTGTTACACTCTTCTGTTCTTGCCTCACAGTAGTTTGTAACTGCTAATATGGTGGGCAAAGACCTAGAGAAATTACTAGAGCTCTAATATGTTAATAAGAGAAACATTTAGTTCCATTAACTATACCCATTACTACAGTATTCAAACTTGTTTTTAATGAAAGCACTGTTTATACACTTTAAGGTAATTCCTTAAAAGTAACAAGGGACACAAACTCCAGTTTTGTCATAAAATCTCCCATGTTCATTATCCTTTCTGCTAAATGGTTTAGCCACTCTTATCATTAGATAACATCCTATCAAAATACCAGATTAAAATCAAGGGAATGCTTTCAAGACACAAAATCAGCAACACTCTTCCAAATGATTAATCAATATTTCTGAACTGCAGTTACTGGTTACAATAAGCTAAATGTCTGAGACAGACACAACTAAATAAAATAAAGGGTTTATATTTAATGAAATCACTAATGTTTGCTTGACGGTAGCTGTTATGGTTTCCTATGGTATTAACAATTGTGTAACAAAATAATGACAGTAAATCTTGAATGAATAGAATGTGTGTCAATATTGCAAACTCTATTATTTATTAACAATGATTACACAAAGAATATTTTTATACTGTATCAGATCACTGCTAAATGTTTGAATTGACCATTCACAAACTGAAACAAGGACAGCAATGTCCTTTAGTTTTAATTTTTGTTTTGCTATTGCAATTTGCTTTAACGCCTCCATGACAAATCCTGTAACCAATGGTGGAAAATCTGAGTCACAGTGTTTCACAGTTTTTACAAAAATCCCAACAAGCAGAGCCTTCTTCTATCTTTTCTGCGAGGTCTTAAAACAACAGGTATTTTACACTTTTTAGAAATGTAGCAAGGCTCTGGTTACTAATGACAATCCGTAAATGTATTTTGTTATGATAGGATAAACATAAAAATAAATACACAGGGACATACAGTTAAGTCTTTGTCTTCTTAACGTGAGATTTTAAACCTCACCTGAATGAAAAATACAATCTAAAACATCAATTCTGCTGGCAAGTTATACATAATCAGTATACACAAAGGAGGTGTTTCAAATATTGCAATAACTCAGTAGAGCTGGGTTAAGTGGCAAATAATTTTATAAAGTAAAAAGACAGAATTCACATAAACTTACTGTCTGTTGAACTGGTACAAAGGAATCAGCTTCTACTCTAAGAAATGAAGTTGTGGGATCAGCAAAACTCTGAAGAAGAAAAAAGGGAACCTTTTAAACATGTAAAACACAAAACAGATTAGGTGCCTGAGTTACGTTCAGTAACTTCTTGGAACACCTCAAACGTTCTGTAGCTAGGATTCATTAGATAAACAAAACAAAAATCATTGGACATGAAAACCCAGATGACTGTCAAATATTCCTTTTTTATATGAGATGTCCCTTTACTAGGTTGGCGTCCCATCAAGGGCTCATCCATCTTGGCATCTTATGCATCTCCGGCTTCCCCCATCCCCAGATAATATGGTTAGAAAATAAATAAATAGATGGATGGACTTCACACAAAACATAGGGAAAAACAATTTTATATTTTTAGAAAATACTTAAGAGACTGGTGTTGGCCTACAACAACATGGATGGAAATACCAACCAATCCATGTACTAAAGCATTACATTTAATTAGGAAGGATACTAGTAACACACAAGTTCTTGATTCAACGAGACAGCCTCACACACAACCTTACACTAGGTTGTTAGTTCCATATTACTTCCATGCAAGGTGAATGTAATTAACTGGTAAATTTTACCTTTTCTCATGAAGGGTTCCAATAAATTTACATAATACCATATACAAACCAAATTCCAGTCATCAAACTAAAAAAACAGATACAATCTTATGTAGATCACCTGAAGATTAGTATAGATTTTATCACAATCATAAAATATACATAGATTTGACAGTTAATTGTATAAAATGACATTAAAATATGTGAGTGACATAGTGACTGCATTGCTGCCTTGCAGTGATGGGGTCCAGGGTTCAATTCCCCACTAGGGGTACTATCTGTGTGGAGTGTGTACTGTATGTACTCCCCATGTTCATGTGAGTTTCTGATGAGTGCTCTTGTTCCTCCCACAGCCCACAGACAAACTGGTAGTTTAACTGGCTTCTGTGAAGACTGGCCCTGGTGTGAGAGTGTGCCCACCCTGTGATGGATTGGAGTCCCATCTACAGTGTGTCCTTATTTCTACCCACTACTTGCCTGGCTCCTCTGAAACCCTGTAATTAGAATATGGATGGATCTACATTTAAACTTTTAAGTGCTTAATTAGTCTAATTATTTGATTCACTTTATTACTTCTAACCATGTGACTAAATATCACAAAGAAAACTTTCAGTCAAGGCTAGTGAGATTTAGACACACAGGAGATAGTAGGCTACATTGCTCAACAGTGAATATGGTTGAGAATTTTTCAGAAAACAGCAAAATCTAGATTATAAACCAAGACACACCTACACAGATGCATACACAGTAAATACTTATTATTTAATAAAAACAAAAGAACACAATAGATCTTTCACTGTATTTGACAATGGATTCAAAGTTTCTCAATCACCAGACCAAGAGCAGTGACTCTAGTGAGTCACACATTAATGCTAGGAAGCTGGGCATACGTTTGTAGTGTGATTTCTTGATACAGAGTATTTTCTAAAAACAACCTCAATTTTCTCAAATAGATTTGGTCGATTTCTTTTGATCTTGAACTGAGAAAATGAGAACAAGACAGTTTTCTTTCCATATGAGCTTAATAAATACCAGCCACACAAAAATCTAGGAATGTTGCATAAATGTTCCCATTTCAAATTTTATCATGTGGTTTTGCTCCTGAAAATATTTTAAACATCAAAGGCAAATAAGGGATTACATATTGTGAAGATATGAATATCAGAAGTCCATCTGAGGACAAAGAGGATAAATGCCTTAAATACTGTACACTGAAAATTGCTTTGCTATCACTGAAATGGTACAGTTTTAGTTGGAGATGGAAAAAAAGGTGATTTAAAACTGCAGTTACTGACTCTTTATAAGCTGTTCTTCATGAAAGCTATTCAAGAAACAAAAACTAATAAACCTCTGAAAAGTCTCCCTGACAAAAGTAACTTGGTGCTATTTCCAAGAGAACAAATTAAACAAACAGTGGAAAGAGGAAGTGAGGTGACAAGGAAAGTACCTACTGTATTACAGTAGGTAGAAACAAAAATAAATTAGACACCTGCTTAAGATTGATCCCAATAAAAACACAGTATCTTTGACAAAAGGACAAAGGCACCTACAGTATTTGTAGCTACCCCCCCTCCCTGAATAAAATGATGTTCGATTATAAGTGCGTTTTACATTTGGGCAATGTGGTTTATGCTAATATTAAGACTCTGCATGCCAGACATTTTCTCCCGAGGCAGATTATTTCCAATACAGATGATCTAGTGTAAAAAAAGAGTAGTATTTAAAAAAATGTCAACTGATATATTTATGATAATTACAATAGTGCACAGAGCTTCAACTTGAAACCATTGTTTGGATGGCTAAACATAAAGATATATAGGATGTTCTTTTCTGTCCATTGATTCTTGTCATTTTTTGGGGGGTTATTTAGACTTTATTCCTTTTAAATTACTTTGCCCCTGAAGCTATTTTCTGAAGCATTGATTCTCGGCAATTAAAATAAAAAGACTGAATAATCTCTAGTCTTATTTGTTCACATTGATGTTAATCTTGATGTCCACTTTGAATAATTTCACATTCAGAAAAAAATATACTATTTGGATTTATCATGTTAATGGTAAATTCAAGCCAATAAGAAGCAAGTTGCATGTGAATGAAAGACAGGTTGTTAAAGGGAAAAGAAAGTTTATGGACACCTGTAAACTTAGAAAATAAAAATAACATTAATATTACATTTTTCTGCTTAGAACTTTTGAGCTTTTAAGGTAATTTTCATCATAATTTGATCTAGTCTATACCCTTAGAAAACATTTAAAAAACATCTGGTCACTCAGCAGAAGTGGATCACAGAGAGATAATGAAAAGATGCTAAGGGCAAACAGCGTAAGTGAGAAACCTAACACACTGCACTACACAACGATTTCAATCATGTCACTCTATGAACTTAGTCATACAACATGAGTTGCATCATGTTTTAAAAAGACTGACTTGATTTGACAGTAGCAAAAATCTGCTGAGTTCACTGCAATGCTAAAGTACGGTTGTCGCTAGTTTCCAAAACAAGGATATGTAGATGGTTTCCAAAACAATATAATACAATTATTGGATCCATGTTAATTAAAATAAATATATATTTTCAAGATTAATTAAACATTTCAACCATTTGATTTTGTATGTGATGTATGTTCCAAGGAATGGGAGGTACATATACAGTATAATATAATATAATATAACTTATAATGGGATACATATAATGGGAATGCGATTTTCAAACCAAGACAACTTAATGCCAGGAGCTAGTTCTGTACTGGATTCGTTGTGACTGAGGTGCTCTTTTGAAGGAAAGGTTCTTACCGTTTGCAGCCTAAGAGATGGCGCATGGCTCAAGTGTCGTCCCACAGTACTGAAACCTCCTGCAAAAACAATGACAGCCATCTGTAAGAGCTGAGCCTGAAGACATCTCTCATGTCCCGCACAGTGAAAAATAAGCAAACATTCACACGGCTGAACACTAGGAAGCACCGTCTTTGCAATGACTCACATCATATATCTTAATGTTTGTTGAAACAGCTGAACTGGTTTGAGAGTTTGAATAAAATACATTGCCAGTCATTCCATGTCTTGATTATATGCCTGGCAAATGCTGCAGGGAAAAGACTGAAAATTAAATTACATGAGACTGAACTAAATTGCTTAAAAAAATACCTGTCAAATGATAAATTTATCATACAGCTGAACACATGGAAATAATAATATATTCTAGTGCAGTGTTAAACTTACCACAACATCTTCCTGGAAAGGAATCACATAATGTACTACAAACTGACTTGTAGAAAACACTGAAAACTACATTATCAATGAGCTTCAAAGGATATTATGCCGTAGAACCTGAAACACTCAGATTTCATAAGTTACCTGTTTGGAACAGCTATAATGTTTCTTTGGAAAATCTTTGGAAAACCACGTATTAGCAAAAAATAAGGTGCAGTTTCATGTTCTTATAAAGCACATCAATTAAATATTCTTAATGCCATTGGTGGCATGATATGTAAACAGTGCAAATAATCCTGCTGACTCTGATGAAAAAAAAAGAACTGAAATGAAAATAAAATAGTTTAACACAATGTGATCCTCTCTTTTGTAAACACTAAAAAAAAAAAGTTTTTTTAGTTCCTTACTAAGTTCCTTTACCTTAGTTGTATAATAGCATACTTACATAAATACACACTGTCTGTCAATGAATGTGTACAGCTGAAAACAGGTGTGACATAGTTGGCTTAAATGTAATGCTTCAAGACAGCTAAATATAAGCAGCAAGTTCTACTGTAGGTGACAATTCTTTTTGCACATGTGTTATCTGCTTACATGCTACTGCCAATCACCTTCTCACCCTTTGCCCTTCTTATGTTAAATGAAAACTGTAACTACAATGCTGGGCATTCTGTTCTAAACTGACAAAATGACCTTTTGCAGTGAATAACAGGAGGCAAAACTAGTTTTGCTGTTAATTTTGTAAATCACAAATATTCAGGATCAACCCTGAGTAATGAGGTTTCTTTACATGGAATAATAAATTATCATCTGTCTTTATTTTGTTATCTAAAATCTTTATCACTTACTTTATCTTTATCTAGAGTCATATTATTTGGGAGAAAATGCAGAATGTATACTGTATGTACTTAAAAGTTTAATACGTTTTAAGTGGCTTAAGTGATTAGTGAGACAGGAATTGTTTGGTGTTCTAGAACAAATCAAATTACATGAAATCTCGGCAAAGTTTCATGTTTCTTGTCAAAAGTTATTTTGCACATAACACAATGCTCGAGTTTCTATTGTTCTATATCTTCATACATTTTAAATGCACATAAAAATGGCAATGTGAAACCACAAGCATGAACACCATTACACTGTGCAGCTTGCAAAACCAGTAACATTTTCATATCATGCAATGCAATAGGTGTGAATATATGTTCAAAAAACATCCATAACAAACTCTGTCTTTTTGGGCAGCTCAGTTACCATATAAACTGATTTAGTGTACAGTATATCCTGACACAAAACCCTAATTGGAAGTCACTGTTTAAATACAACTCAGGCACAGTTGTATTCACAACTGAATTCACACGCAGTTTAACAAATTCTTATTAATCTGTTGCTGTTGTTAGAATGTGATGTACAGTAGCATACAAACTGAATCATGAAGGGCACATGCTTGCTCAGAACAGGCACACTCAAATCCCAAAAGCAATAAGAAGATGCACAACGCCACATGCATGGTAAACTCATGGCACTTAAGTAGTAAAAGAATTTGAACAGTGCAGCCCTTTTCAGCAAAGAAGGTTCAATCAAGCAGCATGTTTTCAGCTCTGAAATGGCTGTCACTCCCACTGTACCAGTGGATTGAGGATTGTGTGCACTGTGCATTAGTGTGTCCTAAACTGATTTAATTGCTGTGCAGATGGAACACAGGTGAAAATGAACCTGAGCATAATGTTAACAGAAAAAGTGCCACTTATCAGTGACTCCCATTTCTAAGTGTCTGGCAAAATCAGTGAAGTGAACTACATCTTATCATCCAAAAAACGTGGACTACCTGAGCTGCGGAATTACATCTTTAATACAGGATTATTCATATCCTTTTTGGACATCCCTGATATTTGGTTTGAACTGGCTCTAGAACCATTACAATATAGATACTAAATAACTCATTAGATCACTGCAGTATCAGCAGAGAGAGAATGCTTAGTTTTCTCAAAATTTGAATCTGTGAAATTCAGATGATCATTATCACCTCTTAATCAGGGTCTTATTCTTTGAAACTGCGAAACGTTGACACACGTTAAAAAAGTTTCACTTGGACTGGCTCATCAATTCCACCATCAACATTTGGGACAATTTAAGTGCATGATCTCTTGGTGGAAAATGCACTTTTTTATTGAAAAACATTTACAATCTGGTGTGTTCTTTCATTTCTAATAAAATGAAAGACAAAATGTCAACAGAGACACGCTCAACGTGGTTAATACATTGCACTGATAAGTAAAACTGACCTGTTGTTGCTACATTCTTTGATTCTTTGAGAATTTATTAGGCTATGATATCTGATAATGTAATCAACTTCGGTGGTCAAGTTTATTTATATTGGTGCAATTTGCCAATTACTAATATTATACTACCAAAGACATCTTTATCTACCACTGCCAGTACATTTCTGAAGCCAGACAAATCTCCCAGGGCTCCTGTTGCTTTAAGCAATGCACAACAAGCACATGCAACAACAATCATGCTTGCATGAGTAGTTCAGGTGGGTAGCTGCATCAGCATGCTGACATGAGGTCTCTTTCCTACAGCACATTAAAAAAAGGCCTGAGTTGAGGTAACTTTACAATCATGAGGCATGCCAAGTGCACAGTACTCACACACTTTATGCAGGATGGGCAGGATTCTATTCTGTAATTGTCTGGTAGAACAGGGTACAGACACAGTGGAAATTCTGTTGTTTCACATACTTAAATAAAATGTCAAACTTCACTGTGTCCGAAACTACAACTTAATTGAGTCTGACATTTATTAATCAGACACTATCATGAAGCGTCTCTTAAAAGATTAATTCCATCTGAGTTTGCACAAAATGTAAATGCAGACTTTAAAAGACTTTACGAAACAAAGCAAATATTCCAGGGTTAAAGTTTATTTTGAAGTCTTGCAATGACAACATTATAACTTTGAAGGCATCCATTAATTGTTTTTTTTTGCTTGTAACTTACCCAAAGTGCATCTTAAACAGCATCCTAAATAAATTTTATTAGGGAACCCCCAAACAGGCTTTTTAGGGCCGATACCGATTCCATGCCTTTAGAATCGGCCAATACTGTTTTTTTCTTTTAAAAATCATTACATCAAGCTCCTACTTTACCAGCCATGTAGAAGCCTCATGTCACATGGTAAAGTGTTACCCTTGTTATTTTGTCTATTTAAAATAAACTATAGACTACAGGGGTTATTTATTTTTTCTTAACAAAATGAAATGTAGTGTGCTTCTTGTTCAATTACCATAAGATAAACACTTCTTACTAAAATAATCACTTAAAGTAAAATAAAGACATTACTAATAAAACATGTACAAAAAACTTTTATACATACAGTGGTGTGAAAAAGTAAGTACACCCCATGAAAAGGTTTGACTTTTTTTTTTTTACATTTCTGGACAAAAAGGATATTTGACCGTAATTTCAATAATACTGATAAAGGTCATCTAATTTTAAAAAATAACATTAAGAAATTACATTTTGCACTAATTTGTACTATTTAAATCAACAGAAATGTGATTTCATTGTGTTCAAAAAGTACACCCCTATCTTTATCATTGGATTAAATGCCTAAAATTAGAATCAGGTGCACCAAAACAGGTGCAAATGATTAGAACATCATTAGAGAGTAACTTGGAGGACACTGCCTTCTATAAAAATCAGAAACCTGTGGTGCTGCAAAGATGCAGCAGAAAGTCTCCAAGAACCCCAGGATAGCATCAAGGGATTTACAGGCAAGTCTTGCCGCAGTCAATGTCAAAGTGCATGAGTCAACCATTCGAAAGAGGCTGCACAACTTTGCCCTACATGCAAGGTCAGGAAGGAAGAAGCCTCTGCTCTCAAAAAAGAATATACTGTAGATGCATGACTGAAGTTTGCCAGACAACACCTAGGTGAAGATCAGGACTATTGTAACAATGTGCACTGGACAGATGAGACAAAGGTAGACATCATGTTTGGCGAAAACCAAAAACTGCCTTTGACCAAACGATTCTCATACCAACTGTTAAGCATGGTGGTGGAAGCATTATAGTTTTGGGCTGCTTTTCTGCCTCAGGGCCTTGCCATGAATTCCACTTTGTACCAGAGAGTACTTGAGGAGAATGTGAGGCCATCTGTCAGAATGCTGAAACTGAACCATAACTGGACCTTGCAACAAGACAATGACCCAAGACACTCAAGCAAATCCCCAAAAGAAAGGCTCAAAAAGAAGAAATGGAGGGCTATGGAATGGCCAAGTCAAACCCAGATCTTAAACCCCATAGAAATGCTGTGGGGGGATTTGAAGTGGGCAGTACATGCAAGAAAGCCATCCAACATCACACAGTTGAAGGAGTTCTGTAAGGAGGAGTGGGCAGAAATTTCTCCAAGACGATGTAGGCGACTAATAGACTATTACAAGAAATGCCTATAAGAAGTGATTTCTGCCAAAGGGGGCAACACCAGCTATTGAAGCTAGGGGGTGTACTTATTTTTTCCATAGCACACAATTGCATTTCTGAGTTTTTTGTTGAATAAATTATTGCAAAGAATAATTTTCATTGTTATTTGTTAAATGCTCTGTAGCTACTAAGCCTATTGTTTACTTATCATCGAGGGCAGAT